AGCCCTTCCAGTTGATTTGTTTTCAGTTCACCTTCCAACAATAAATTTTTTATTTGAAAATCACATGGTAAAGTCAAAGAAAATTATTACATTTGAATAGAAAACTTTTTCCTAAATTGCTTTCTGGAAAGACATACAAACTAGGACACAAGAACTTGACTGGCTCGTTTTACGATATGCTCTGTGCATCCCTTCAACACCTATGACATTGAATATCTACATTAGTTATCCGAATCATTTTGTCAGTCTTGAGATGATCCCTCAAAAGTTTCTAAATGCATTTAAATTTCTTGTAAAAATGTTTTCGAAATTTCACTAGAAAAATTTTCTCTAAAACTTTCCGTTATTTCAGCATCGCGCTGATGCTAATTTTTACGAACTTTCTGGGAGATGATCAATTTTTCGTTTAACGGGTTTCACAAACTCATTTATTAAATCAACCTACTTGTTTTTTGTTTCGCTCCTGGTGTCTTCAAAAATGAGGCAAAGCCAAAAAACCCTCTTGGTTGAAAAAAATGGCGAATTACGTAGATGCGAGCCTATCAGTCTGAATTTCCATGTTGTTTAGGATTATTAAATTTGTACAGTCACCAACTTACCAAAAGCGTTCGGTGTTTTCCTACAGCCTTTGTAAAGATTTGAAGGGAGGTAGAATATTTTCATAAAACGTTTTTTCTCGACTCAGGCAGTGGAAGAAACAAGAAAAATAAAGCTTACAGCAATGTTCTCATCAGAAAAACAGCAAAAAAAGTTTAAATTTACAAATGTTTTCTCAAACATAGTGTGAAAATTGAGCAAGTCTTTGCAAATTCTCCCTCATCTTCAACCACCCGTCAACAGATGACTCTTCGGAATCAGCAGCAAACATGGACCGAGGTGCTCGAAATCTTTCCAAACCATGTGGCACCCGTATTCCAGTCACCGACTCTGATTCACTTCCCTTTAAATTTTTAAATTCAGTTCTTTCTGTTCATGAATAATTTTCTCTCAGCAACAGGAACTGCTTTTTTTTGCTGTTATCAAATACAGGCCTCCAGGATTTTTCTTGTATGGAGAAAAAACCTAGCCTTTGTTTCCTCTGTTCTAAAATACTCCAAAAGCAGATGAAAACTAGTATTCTGATTCCACGAATACGTTGTCCGAATGAAAAACGCGGGAGCCACCACATCATCGCTTTGCTTATTCAGCACCACTTTCTCAAAAATGAGTTAAAAGTAATTCCACTCATGGAATTCGGGGTTTCCCGATGTTATCTAGTCAGTTGTGAAAAGAAAATAGGGAATTTTGGGATTAGTACTGTAAAATTTGGTGAAACTGGAAAACAGATTAACTGTAATTAAATATGAACTTACACTGGAGTGCCTTCTTTTCGTCGTGTCAGGCGGCTCGAGGTTCGGCGTGCTGAGCAGTTGTAACGGCCTACAATATCCTGAGTTTTGCAAAAGGATCAAAGTTCTGGGAAAATTCAAAAAAATGATTCTAAAGGGGAAAGCTGAACTGGGATGTGGTGATTACTGAAGCTTGATTTTACTCATGAGGCTTAAATCTTTTCCAAATTTAAGATAGTGTTGTCGGCAACGATTACTCTCTACTGCAGATTGAGGCTGTAAAAAAAGAGTTTACAATGGAAGCTAATCAAAAGGTCTTTGAGGTTGTCGCGCAACACAGCAACCAATCGGTAGGGTATTGATGGTTTTTTTTTTCAGAACTGCTGGAAAAAATCTGGGAGCTGAACCTCAAAGGTAATCTAGTGCCACTGTATGGATACAGATGATTCGCTCTTTCAACTTTGCGGCTGGTAACCAAAAATAAGGAATTAGGTCATAAGGTCAATACTACAGACTATGCTATTAATATACCATAATTTCTAGTGCTTTTGTCTGCTAAAAAATAAAACCGAAAGACTTGGCATAGCTGCTCCCTGCGTATGGGAGTATACCAGCAAGCATCACTAACACTTCGGGCAATCTTAGCAATTTTTGTTTAAGTAAGGTTCGCACACACCTATGTACAAGAGGTTTTTCATATGTGATCGAATCGGATCGACCAGCTGAATAGCTGGACTGGGAATATCCTCCTTCCTGGCTGCTATCCTGTGTACAGTTCAGCGCAACACACCTTTTCTGGGAACGACGCCGTCTTCGCCGATCCGGTTCCTGTAATTAGTTTCGTTTCACTAACTAATTAGAATAAAAAAATCTTTTCCAAAGCTCTTATAGCTCCGCTGATTGAAGCTGCATCGTCTGGTGATTCATAAGCTGGTGATCCTGGAGATTTCTAGCTAAAGTTCTGTACCTGTATGCTGCATTCCGATGACGAGTACCGATGTTCCGGACTATATACTGGAGTGCGTAGCGCTGCTTTCAATTGCCTTATATCAGCAAAATCGGATTCTCTGCGATTTCTTTCACAAGATTTCGCACGATTTACCTGAAATATTGTGAAAATTCCTGGAAACTGAAAAATAAAGAAATTCTATGAAACTGAAAAAAAAAACAGAAACATGCTTAGAGAGAATTTTGAATTTTCAGGATTCCCGTTTTTACGATATCTACTTATTTTGGATTATTTCCAAATTTTCAGGGTGCTTCCTTTTTTGCCGACAAATTTAAGAAACAGTTGCATTTTAGGCATTTTCAGGATAACTTATCCTGCTGTTGTATCATAGCTCAAAGCTTGCCATGAATTCGGGATTGTGATAGATGACGCTACTCTCCGAGCCAGTGCTGTTGAGGGTGCTGCTCACATCCATTTTGCTGATGATGTCAAGCCACGAATGCTCTGGATGCGGTGAACTCTGTGGGTTGCCGGAACACACCTGAAATAGCGTTGCAAAAGGAAGGGACGGAAACGAGAAAGGAATGCAAGTGGCTGATTCTCTTGTTATTCCAGCAGCTCAGAAATACTTTTCCTAGTCCGGATGATGGAAGAACGGTCCTGCAGAGAGAATACCTACCCAAAAGGGGTCACTCGCATGCTTGATTTCAAATTACCTCATTGTTGTTGTCCTGGATTTTGTCTGGCCCACAATAAACAG